TCAACAACAAGAGAAACAGCACGAGAATGCTGCACAGGTACAATTAGACATAGAAAGATTGTCTCAACAACAAGAGAAACAGCACGAGAATGTTGCACAGGTGCAATTAAACATAGAAAGATTGTCTCAACAAGAAAGTTTCATGCAGTTGCAAACAAGTATAGAAAAATTATCCCAAATACAAATACAACATTGTAATCAAATACAAGAACTAAAACAAAATATCCGACTTTTTAAAACGCACCAAAATTCACAAGCAAGAAGTTCTAATCTGGCAAAAATAACACGGAGGATGAATTTGTCTCCAACAGCACAAACATTTTATGACAATAATATAAAATTGAAAGCGCAAAAGAGACGCATGAAAAGGGCTATAAACAGAATGAAACTAAAAAACAAAATTGAGAAAATAATATTAAGGGGTTAGTACACTCCAGAATTTTTAAAAAATCGAAAATTTGGTTATTGGCTTAAAAAATTCTTTGAACCCTCTAGAATAAAAGGCAAAAGGTTTCATACCCGCTAGAATTTTTTTTCATTGAATTTTCGAAAACAAAAAAAGACCGGCGATACCGAATCGTCATATGTTTGAGAGTGAAACGGCTTCGACAAGTGCTTCTGCGAAGAAACTAAGAATGGGCTAAGAATGTGAAGAAGAAGATTCCTTTTATGAGGCAGGAATGGCAGATTAAGGGTAAGATGCTTAAATAAATTTTATCACTGAAAAAACTAGTACCAAAACTTTAAACGCGTTTTTCTCGAAACTATGTTTTTCAAGACGGTGTACACGATTTCTCGGGATCTATTTAACGAATCGACTTGAAATTTGGTACACATATACTAAAGACTAGTGTCTTTCGGCTAACGGACGGTTTTTTCAATATTTTGTTTTGTTCAAAAGTTATTAATAATAATAACTTATTTTTTTTGACAAAAAATGAAACTAAAAATTCAGGAATTTTTTTCTCGGCGCCAAAAATTTAAAAAAAAAAAGGCTCCGTTAGCCGATAGCCAGTATATCATAGATAATCACAAATTTTTTATTTTTGTTCCAGACTACTGGTTTTTGCCAAACCATGTACACCACCAGGCCACCTCGAAAAATCATGGTTAGGCGCGAAGCAGCGTAACTCAGCGAATTCTGCATTTTTTGACTAAAAAAAATTTGACGTGTTCTTCGATATATGTAGAAAACAATAAAAAAAAATTAGCCGTTCAGCTTACATACTTTTTTATAAATTAATTCCCAAAAATTAACAAAAAAAGCCGTCTCTGGAGTGTACTAACCCCTTAAATAGGAGAAAATATAAAGACCGAGTGGATAGAACTACAAAAATACGAGAAAACTTCATCAATATGATGATGAGAAATAATGACATCTCACCACAGGTAACATAATCCTTTTACCTTAAATTCCAATAATCGTTGTTTCACTTAAGCTTCAATTATGTTGTTATTATATTTTAATATTATATTGTTTAGTATTTGCTCATTCAAGTTACTGTTACATGCATTTATATGTACATATATTTATATGAAGTTACCTTTACATAAGTCACATTATTATATACACAAATATATTGATATATTATATTATATATTAGTATAATATTTAAATGACGTGTTTATACATTTTGAAAATAAAGTTTATATTAAAATTTGAATAATAAAATTGATCGACTTATATGTGTATTTAAATAATAAAATCATATTATTAAAATATAGTATCAGGTAGTATGCATTACTGCTCGATTTAGAATTTCTTTTTATTTTGCATAAAACGAGCGAAATTCAATTACTTATATTTATATTTAATGATTTATATACGTTTATACAATTATTTTTATATAGGCAAGACGATATACAAAAGAGGATAAAATATTTTGCTTGAGCATTTATCGTAGATCCCGTTGTTGTTACAAATTCCTATCCGAATTCCTATTATGTCCTTCTTATACCACTTTGAATACACAATTAAATCGCATTCCTATTGTTACTGGGTGCAGCAACATTATTTTACAATATCTTACATTAAACGCTAAAAAGATGGATCCGAAAGATTTAAATATCATACTTGCTTGGGATGAGATGGCTATTAAACCCTCTCTTACATACGATGTTAAAAACGACAAAATCATTGGATATGAAGATTGGGGAATAACGCGAACAAGAAGATTTGCAGATCATACCATTGTATTTTATATAAGATCTTTATCATCTGGTCAGAAAATGCCTATTGGTTATGGTTTTTGTAATAGTGCAACCTCATCTATCCAACTTTCAAAATGTGTAAAGGAATGGTTAATTTATCTGCAAACATGTAGTTTTAAACCAAAAGCTACCGTTTGCGACCAAGGAGGGCTTAGCATTGCAGCAATTAACTTATTAATACAGGAAACACGTGCACAACTGAACAGTAAGTGCGTTACACGCACGCACGCACGCACGCACACATTCATAAACTTTATTAATTATAATACGTACTATTGTATTAATATTATTTATTAAATTTTTTTTAGAAATTCCGATAGAAAATACATTTTATGTCGGAGGAGAATATATTGCACCTTTATACGATTATGTACATCTTCAAAAAGGTGTACGTAATAATTTGTTAAATATAATTTGTTAAATAAACATTTACTTTTGAATAAAGATGCAAGATTGTCAGAACGTGAAAGTCAATGAGCCTCTTGGGATCACATTATAACTGCTTACGAAATTGATCGAAAGTGTTTTCAACATCGACGTAAAATGAAAAAGTTAACAGATAGTCATATTTTTCCTTCCTTGATTCCAAAAATGAAAGTGTGACGATGCATCCCCCATCGTCCCTGGCATTAATAACCGGCCGGACGCCGCTGCATCGCCACGCGGTGCAGCGATGAGGGAGCATAGCGTCCGACAAAGAAATAAAACATAATTCACAGGTACGCGACAGCAACCGTTACCAAGGACCGCCGAGTCCCGCCGAACTCGCTCAACGCGCGGAGTTCCCCACCACGCGACACTGTCAAACGCCGCAAAACGGCGAAGCGACGGAAAAACGCGAGGCGAGTCGAAACGATACGAGCGCGACAAATGTTGTAAAATAAAACGTCGCGCTCACGAGAAATCGACACATTCCGTTTCCAGCTCCGACAGGAATATCACCTCCGAAATCCTAGACAGCTTAAAACGCGAGTAGAATACCGAGCCAGAGAGTACTCTAGCCCGATCGAGCGTTCTCGATATATCGCAAGACAAACACTCCTTTCCAGTACCGCTAGGCACGAAACAGGGATAGAGAGTGCTCTATCTCTGTCTGGAGTTCCCGACAGCCGACCTGGTACGGGTTCCTGACTCCGAGTTGACGCCCGGGGTAGAGGGTACTCTGCCTCCGCCGAGAGTTCTCGGTCGTCAACTCGAGTCACCAAAACTTACATATTTTGCCGCTACGAGCGACCAACAGTAGCCCGGGGTGGAGTGTTCTCCGCCTCTACCGAGAGTTCTCGGTCGTTGGTCATCGTACGCGCGCAACGACATAAACCGCGACCATCCGCAGGCATATGACATTCGTAATACCGTCGCGTATAGAAACACCGTAGATCAGCTGATCGCGAAATGCGAACTGTCTCGACACGCGATAGGAAAAACCGCTAAGCAAGCACGGGCTGGGCTTTAAACGGCTCGGCTCCGTCTCGCGTCGCGAAGAGACAGAAAAACTGCTACACGATAAACACACACACACGGACACCGAACGTCCGCACATACACACACACGCAACACACACACACACACCGTCCGCTCGCCGACGTCTAACACGTCAGACACGACACAATAAACAGACGCACATCGCATCGGCATACATACACATACATCATTTTCACCGTCGTCAAATCATATTGTACATAGCACTCATCTGTCTTTGTTTGTGAAATAAATCAATACGTTGTTTTAATCTTAATCACATATCTGAGATATTACTTGCACTCTCCCACCGATCGAACCTCTTTTTGAATCCTGCACCGTGAAATCCGACGAGCTACATCCGCGCATTCGAAAAGTTAGGTAGTTACAATGGCGCCCGAACAGGGACCTGATCGTAAGGGGGAGACGCAGCCCGCGCCCAAGGCATGGATTTACCGACGCAGTAAAACCGAGTTGAGCGAAGAAATGAATATATTAGGCATCGATACCGAGGGTACCCTCGACGACTTGAGACACCGCCTGAGCGCATACGTCGACGAACACCCAGACCGTTTTACCGCCGCCGCAACCGCCCCGCCCGTACCACCGAGACGCGAATCCGCCTCATCGCCCGCGCACTTGTCTAACACTATCATTAATCCGTTCGCCACGCAAGCTACGGCAAGCCCCGAGGAACGCCCTGCACTAGTAATGAATCAAATGCGAAAATGGGGCCTGCAATTTGACGGCAAGGATCCCTGATCCTTTTTAGAAAGAATCGAAGAACTCAAGGAAGCCTACGAGCTTACCGACCGGTAATTTTTCCGGGGCCTGCCGATGCTACTTAAGGGGGACGCGCAACTGTGGTGCCGGGGAAATAGAAAATACTGGGAGAACTGGGACGATTTTACTGAAAGTTTCAAAGCCGCCTTCCTACCGCACGCCGACGCGTATCAACTCCTTGAAGACATTCACGCACGAAAACCGGGGGAATCATATTTTAAATACTCCACAGCTCTGATCGCGCTATTAAACCGCGCAGGGATAACGACCGAGGCACGGCAACTCGAGTACCTGTATCGGAATATGCGTATAGCATACCAGTGGCGTATTCGGCGAGCCGACGTACGCTCTATACAGGAATTAGGTCTGGAAGCAGCAAACTGCGAACGCCTGCAGCTGCTGGAAAAAGCAGAGGCGCGACCTAAAGAGAGCACGCCCGAAGCGACCGCGGCCGTGGCGTACAACCGCAACGAATGTTGCTGGCGTTGTAAGCAACGCGGGCACACCCGCTTTGAATGCAAACGCATTCCGCGGAAATTTTGCTCGCAATGCGGCAAAGATGGCGTCCTGACAAAGGACTGCCACCCGCCACCGGGAAACGGGTCGCAGACCGGGGAAGTCCTGGCCGTCCCCCGGTCCCTCGAATAGATTTCACCCCGCGGCCGCACCTCGACGTAATTATTAAGGGCATCCGACTACGCGCGCTACTCGACACCGGCTCCGAGATTTCTTTTATAAACACCGATGCGCGAAACAGGCTAGAAGGAGCACAAGACAGGGTTAAGAGTAACGAGAAAGAAGTACAATTAGCTGACGCACAGATAATTACCCTGCCCGGGTCGTTGGAACTACCTGTCTCCATCGGCACACGACACCTGACGCACGCCTTCTATATAATGCCCACCCTCAAGAGCGCCGTGCTCATAGGGATGGACATCTGGGCACAGCTAGGCTACGCAATACCCGCACCTCCGCCGACCATCACGACAAATCACCTCGCCACGATCGCAACAGCCAAAGGGTTAGCGACGCGATCCCAAAACAAAAGCCGCGATCTAAAAGCATTCCTGCGCGAAGAATTACCTTTATTCGAACTAGTGCAAGGCCCTACGGCTCTGTCACAACATGAGATCCCCGTAAAACCAGGCGTACGGCCGATCAAACAACGGTACCGTCCCCGAAACCCCGCCGTCCAAGCGGTCATCGACCGCGAAGTGCAAGAGATGCTCAGCGAGGACATAATCGAACCCGCCGTCAGCGCATGGAGCTCTCCTGTAAATAGTAAAAAAGAAAAACGGGAAAAACCGTTTTTGCATTGACTTCAGGCGCGTAAACGACGTAACAGAACCCGACGCCTACCCCCTGCCACAAATCACTGCCACCCTCGACAAATTACGAGGGGCAAAGTATCTCACTACGCTAGACTTAAAAAACGGATATTGGCAGATACCCCTCACACAGGAAAGCAAGCCCGTCACCGCATTCACAATACCAGGGAAGGGGCTATACCAATTCAAGGTCATGCCCTTCGGGCTACACTCCGCGCCCGCCACGTTTCAACGCCTACTCGACCGAGTTCTAGGGCCCGAATTAGAACCCCATGTATTCGTATACCTCGACGATATAATTATCGTAAATAGCGAATTCAACGAGCATCTGGAAACCCTGAGTGAGGTGTCCCGGAGGCTCCGCGAGGCTCAACTCCGAATTAATCCGGAAAAATGCAAATTCTGCGTCGAAAGACTAAAATATTTGGGACACGTCGTGGATCGGCAAGGACTCCGGACAGACCCAGAAAAGGTAGAATCTATCGTAAACTGGCCGATGCCGAAAACCGTCAAACAAATACGCCAGTTCCTCGGAGTCGCCTCGTGGTACCGACGGTTCTTCGAAAACTTCGCCACCATGGCCGCACCCCTTACCGCGCTAACGCGGAAAAATATCCGATGGTCTTGGAGGTCCGTCGAGGACACCGCCTTCGAGAAATTAAAAAAAAACGCTAACAACGGCTCCAGTACTCGCATGCCCCGATTTCACGCGTCGATTCGTACTGCAAACGGACGCAAGTGGCACCGGGCTCGGCGCGGTATTAACGCAAAATTTCCCGGAGGGAGAACACGTCATCGCCTATGCCAGCCGCACATTAAGCAAACCGGAACAAAATTGTAACGCGACCGAGCTCGAGTGTTTGGCTGTCGTCTGGGGCGTCCGCCGAATGAGGGATTACCTTGAGGGATACCAGTTCACGGTGATCACAGATCACCAATCCCTCAAGTGGCTCCAGCGCCTGGAGTCCCCCACCGGTCGCCTCGGACGATGGGCGTTTGAACTCCAGCAGTACGAATTCGACGTAAAATATCGAAGGGGGGCATTAAACCGCGTAGCCGACGCACTGTCACGACAACCAGCATCCGCCGCCGCCACCGGGACGATCAATTGCCCCTGGTACCGCCGCCTATTCCAGGCCGTCCGGGATAACCCCCGGAACCACCCAGACTATGAAATCAACAATAACCGGCTATACCGACATATACTACACGACCTTGACTTCAAGGAAACACCGGCAGAGAGGCAATGGAAAGAGTGCATCCCGCGAGAGCACCGCGACTCCATTATGCACACGCACCACGACGAAGCCACGGCCGGTCATTTAGGGATTGCAAAAACCATAACGCGAATAATGAGGTCGTACTACTGGCCAGGGATGGCACGTGACATCGCGAAGTACGTACGAAGTTGCAAAAACTGCCAGCAACATAAAGTGCTACAGGTAAAACCTGCCGGCTTATTGCACGCCACAGACTCGTGCCGTCCCTGGCAGCACGTCACCATCGACCTGGTAGGGCCTTTACCCCGCTCGAGGGGGGGCAACACCTGGCTGCTTAATATGCAGGACAAATTCACCAAATGGGTGGAAATGAAGCCCCTCCGTCGCGCCACCGCGCCCGCCGTAACGGAAGCAATTTCCGAACGCGTCATCCTGCGCCACGGGTGCCCGGAAAGTATTATCTCAGATAATGGAACACAATTTAAATCCGCGCAATTAAATAAAATGCTCACATCATTCAACATTGAGCATAAGTACACACCGGCATACGCGCCACACTGTAACCCCGTCGAGCGCACGAACCGTACCATCAAGACAATGATAGCGCAATATGAAGACCGCCACCACCGCAAATGGGACGAGCGTATCCCCGAAATACAATTCGCGTTCAATTCGGCTCGCCACGACACAACGGGGTACTCCCCGGCGTACTTAAACCTCGGACGCGAGTTGCTGTCGCCACTCAGTTCTAACTACATCCGCCCTGTACCCGCCCCGCCACCTGACACCACCCGCCGTCACCTCGAGGAGGCATTCGAACTCGTGAAAATTAATACCGCGCAAGCTTTCCAGAAACAGCAAAAATATTACGACTTACGACGAAGGTCCTGGAAACCGAAAATCGGAGATCAC